CGCGAATACACGACATACTATAAAATTATTATTTTGCACTACACTGCCAAGGATTATTATATCTTATCGTAAACAACAACAGTCATTGTCGTATAATCACAATTCACAGCAGCAATTCAGAAGTTATAAATAACTTTTAGTATAGCTGCTTTATGATAGCTACTATCAGTACTATCTATCGGCTATCACAACACGATAACAGAAAACGATTAATCGTGTTTTGTACCCCAATCCCTAAATCGTAATACCAATTACCAGCACTCTCGTGTGAGTCGYGTGACCGCGGGTTTGAAAAAAWACATAAACTTAAAAAATATTATTTTTATCTATCCATCCATTTCTAAGCTACTACGATAACTTAATTTTAAAGTGAATTATGACAATTTTTTACACCAAAAGTTATCACAATATAGAAGATAATATTTTCTGTGTCTTAGCGTTTTTATTTTTTTGATATCTTTAATGAGAAAAAATTAATATTTATTTAAATATATTTAAAAATCTGATATATTTTTAAGTTTTTCAAACTTCAATATATTGGTTATATATTGGTCTTACCAAAAAAATAAAAATGCTACGACACAGTTAAAATTCTCCTTTTTCATGGTGAAAATTTAAAATAACTGTAGACTTCTCGGTTATTCACCGCGCGAAACAGTTTTTGCCATGTTACGCACATGTAAGACGGAGACAACACGCGGGTATCACGTCCTCTTAATATTAGATATTTTTTCAAAAAAGATTGGACAGTGATTTCCAAGACGTAATATGTAGATCATTAATAAGAAAATTATGGTGGTTTTCCAATCATGAGAAAAACTAATTATTAATTATTATTTTACAATRTTAATTCTAAGTTTTTATAATTAATATAATTATTTCAGATGTGGAACATGGGATCTAATGCGTTGTGCAACTGCACATTTTGTGTGGCTAAGTTGAAATGTCCCCAGCAGCAACAGAGCTTGTTAGAAACTACTGTTGCTGCTGTGGTGGAAAAAGTTCTACTAAAGAACAAGCCCCAGCCAGGCCGAGTGGCCAATTTGCTTAGTAAGTTTAATTTTTTTAATATTTAGTTTACATATTATAAATAGATTCAAATATTAATATCGTAATTTATTACAGAGTGTTATGTATGTCATAAAATTGGCCACAAGGCCAATGTGTGCTGGTGGCGTCCAGGTGATAAGTACATATTATTTATTGTTAATTTTATGACTAATTAAGTCTTTTATTATTTATTAATTAATTAATCCATGTTTCAGCTGCCCCTCGTCGGGTCCGGTCAAGGCGTTACCCCCAGTCATCAAGGTCGCGATCTCAAGAGGGTCATCAAGGTCGCGATCTCCCCACAGGGGCAGTACCATGGAAGATCGAAGTGCAGGCAGATTCCAAAAGAAGAGGACTAGTTCCTCCCAAAGGAAGGCCACTAGTTCGGTGTCAGAAGATATCCCTCTAGCGGCTACTGGTATGTAGAAAGTTAAATTAATAATTAAGTTAATATGTTGTTATAGGCTATAGACTACCTACACTCAATAGTAATGTAAAGAAAAATTAAGTTACTTTTTTATTTTTACACCTACTATCATGGACGGACTGGGAGATTGTCGGCCCAGGGGGGAGTACAGCTTAGCGGCCCTAAATATTTTACTATATCATTACTATATTTCATTTGTGATTTTGTAAATAATATGAATGTTTTATTACTATAWTTTTTTTWAAAYAAATGTAAATTTTACTTGTAGAACTATTTAAAAAAATATAAATACCTTTATAAAATACAATTTCCTTTATTTATCTTATGAACATAATATTTAT